TATCTTGTATATTTTGTATAAATATGTATGTTATCTTGGTCATCAAAGAAATGAGCATGATCATCCTGTTCACTATCATCTATAAAGCTACTATCATAACTGTTACTACTATCTAAATAATCGTCTTATCATATACATAATCAAAATCTTGACTACTGTGATAACTACCATCGTCTGAATATATTTCCTGAGATTCCATGTATACCAATACATCAGATAAAAATCGTATAGTTTCCAAGAATTATGATAGCATATGGATTCCAGGAAATAATTAATATTTTATGAAAAAGCCAGTGCAAAGTTACCGTGCGATAATAAAAAAATATAATGACTGATATCTGGTGAATATGCGTTAAAAGCACCAAGTATTATACTTCTATCTTAACTAGTTTAACTATCTAAGCTAAATTGTGCAGTTTGTGCAATGAAAGCATTTAAGTTTGTTATGCATTTTGTAAAGTTGAACCATGTAAACTACTTCAACCAATTAAGAAAGATTTTACAACTGTGTAGTTTAACTGTCTTCCTGGTTTGACTATTTAACAAGGCAGAATAGAATAGAATGCTTAGAATACTTTGACTATTTTAAATACCTCAAGAAACTTAGCTAGATTGTGCACCTTGCACCGTTTATTCATTAAGGTCGAGTTGACCATTTAAAGTACTCCAACCAGTTGAGAAAGATTGTGCAGTTTTTCTCAGTTGACCTGTGACTGTTAAACGAGTTGAACTATTTCTGTTAGATAGTCCAGATTGTACAGTTGAACTGATTAAGCTTGTTGTGAATTTTTTGTCTCCTAAACCATTTAAGCTCGTTTGATCATTTGAAGTACTGCAACCAACGGAGATAGATTGTTTAATTTGTGTATTTAGCTATCTTCGCTTGTTTGCTGGTTTTGCCAGTTGGCAAGACTATAGAAAACAGCTAAACTACAGAAATCGCACAATCGATCTCAACTGATTGAACTAGTTCAAATGGTAAAACTGGCTTAACTTGTTCAGGGGGAATAAAATGCATCACTAGATTAATAGGTTAAACCACACAAAATTCGCAGTCTAGTTGAACTTGTTGAACTGGTTAAATAATCAAACTAGTGAAAGCAGTAAGAATAAACAGACTGCACTCTATCTCAAATGGTCGATGTAGTTCAAATGCTCAGACTAGGTTAATTGGTTCAACTGGACAAAATGAATAACTAGCTTGATAGGATAAAATGCACAAACTGCACAATCAAGCTCAATTGACAGTCAGAGTAGCTAAGACATTTGAGCTGCACAAGTTGCACAATCTATTTTAATTGGTGAAAGTTCTTAAAATGGCCATACTAGCTTAAATGGTTGAACTCGTTAAATATTCAAACTAAGGAAGACAATTGGATGGCAGGAAATAATAAGTATTATATGAAAAAGGCGCCACAAATCTACCGAACGATAATAACAACATAGAATCACTGATTTCTGGTGAATATATGTTAAAAGCCCCAAATAGTATACTACTATCTTAACTAGTTAAGCCACTTAAGCTAGATTGTACAGTTAGTGCGATGGAATCATCTAAGCTAGTTATCCATTTTGTGCAGTTGAACCATTTCAACTACTTCAACCAATTAAGAGAGATTTTGTAAGCTGTGCAGTTTAACTGTCTTCTCTGCTTTGACTTTTTCACAAGTTGAATCAATTAAAATAGTTTGACTATTCATTAACAATTTTCTTAGCTTCAAGTTTACACTAATCAACAACGAAACTGTGAAATAAATCAAATCTTGACGTGGCGGATCTCAATCATAGAAAAGGCGGAAAGAGGACACCCCTAAAACAAAAACACACGCTTAAATCAACCGGAAGCTTAAATTACGGCAAATGGGGAAAGAAATCCGGCGTTAATCTGTTACTAATATGTTAGTTGAGACGACGTTCGCTCACACCTATATTCGACAACTCAAAAAAATTGATAACGTACAGACATTATGAATACTGACCAATTTTTAGTTTTTAAGTACATCTTAAAAGATGTTAAAAAGAAAGGAAACATTTAAGCCTCCTAACAGTCGTTAATTCTTGATTCCAAACGATCGCACTTCGCGCATGAACAACAAACTCCACCACCCTCTCCAAGTGAACGCAAGAGGCTATTTCGAGGTTATGGAAAGACAGGACGTGGCTACTCTCCACTCCATTATTGCGAGATGTGTTCGGATAGGAACAGAGGTGCACTCCGATGATTGGGCTACGTATTGGCAGATGGATCACCATATCCATTCCGTAAGCCACCACAAAGCTGTTGTTCACTGGCTACATTTCGTGGATCCAGTCACTGGAATACATACCCAGGAAGTGGAGTCCTGCTGGAAAAATTTGAAACTAGGCAAAAAGATACACAAAGGAATTGGGAGGGAGGACATGCAGTTCTACCTGGACGAGAAGATGCGGCGTCAGTGGAGAGCAGAGAACCCTCAGAATGCCATCATGTTTCCATTGCGTAAACTGCACTATCTAGCTTAATCGGTTTAACTAATTAAGATAATCAAAGTAGCGGAAAGAGTAATGGATAACTTTTTAGCAGTTTTAGCTGGACAATATATTGTTAAGCAATCTTGTTTTGTAGAAAGTTTAGACGTTGTAGATTACAGAGATATGTTTATCCGTAACTGACTTGTTTTAATATTCAGGTTTTTGCTTCAACCAACCGAAGTCTCAGTTGTTAGATGGTGCGGTATTTGGTCGTGTTCAATTTCTTCATTTTTCTTTGCTTTGTTGTTTGTTTGTTTGTTTGTTTTGTTTGATTGTTTGCTTGTTTTTTTTTTTAACTAAGCTCGGTGTAGTAAGCAACAAACAACACAACACAACGCAAAACAAAAGCAATAAATGGATGGATTGTACATTTTTTGGAGTATTTAGAGCATTTACTGGTCATTCCATATCATTTGGTGTAGATAATGGCACCCTCGATGGTGGGTTTTATGCTCAGTTATTTTTCTATTATGACTTGCCATTGCTTTATTTGTTTATAACAGAAGGGAGATATTACCTTATCCAATTCATCATGAATTATTTTATTCCAATATATTATAATATAATATTACATAAATATTATATGTTTAAATATTATCAGGGGTTATCCTTAGTTTCTTTAAATTGTATTTGACATGATGCAATTTATCTTCATTCCCCTTCTAATATATTGCCATCATTGAAAGGTATAGGTACTATGTATAAACATTTTGTATAAATATTCTCTTGGTGATCAGGGTAGTAAGTATCATAATCCAGTTCACTATCACAACTATCATCACTATCTGAATAATCGTCTGGACTTTCATATACATAATCACCATATTGACTACTATGATAACTACTATCATCTGGTTATACTTGCTGATATTACATGTGTACCAATACATTAGATAAAAGTCAAAGGGATTCCAACAATTGTGATAGCATATTCACTCACGCCCATTATGCCGTACGGCACGTAAGGCGGCTACGAAGGATCGCCAAGTGTGTCGGTTCTGGGCTAGCTTCTGGATGGTACCCCAAGTGTGTTGCATGGTCTTGACCTCTGCCTCCACAGTTCGGCGTCAGCTGTTTCTCGGTCATCCCCTCTTGTGCTTTCCTTCAGGTGTCTAATAAAGGGCTGTACGAGTGATGTTGTCCTGCTCTCTCCTCATGATGTGTTCGATCCATCTCCATGCCCCTCGCATGTTAACGGTCAACATATGCTGTCTTGATTGCAGCGGGCGAGTAGCTGTATGTTGGAGATGGTATCAGGCCAAAAGATTTGCAGGATTCTTCTGTGGTTCTTTGTGTGGAAGACTGAAAGCTTGGTGATTACGCTCTCTGTCATCCTCCAGCATTCAGAGCCGTATAGTAGGGAGGACATAACACAGCCTTGGTAGATCTTCAGCTTGGTCTTGATGCTGTATTGAGAGGACCTCCACACGTTGTTGAGCATTCTGAAGGCATTTCTCGGCCTTGATGTCATTCCCTGCTCCTCCATTATGCCTTACTGCGCTGTCCAGGTAAGTGAACTCTTCAGTTGTTGGTAAGTCTCCTTCGTTCATTTGAACTGTTTAGGGTTAGAAAAGTTCAGCAGCATCACTTCTGTCTTCGTTTGGCTGATCTTCAGGTCAACTTCCGGTGCGTAAGTACTGAATCGGTACCTCTTTTCCTGCATGTGTTGGTGAGTATAGGAAACCAAGACTAGATCATCTGCAAAATCTAGGTCCTCTAGCGTTCAAAAGAGGGTCCATCTGATGCCCCGTGACTGATCTTCTGTTGTTCGCCTCATTACCTAGTTAATGGTCATGTTGAGAGCATTTCCGACATTGTACAGCCTCGTCTGACTCCAGACTTCACCGGAAAGCTGGTTTCGCTGTTGCCTACTCTGCATGTGAAGTTGTCGTAGAAGCTTTCGATGATGTCAATAATCTGCTGTAGCATCCCATAGGCCTGAACGATGCGCTACAAACTTTCCAGGTACATGCTGTGAAAAGCCTTCTCAAAGTCTAAAAAGTTGATTTTCAGTTGTCTCCGCCGTTCTGTGCGCTGCTCTATGATGTTAGGCAGGATGAAGATATGGTCTATACATAGTTGTTGGTCCATTGTGTCGGCTGTCCGCGGGATGACGATCTTGACCAGTATCTTGCTGGGTACAGATAGTTAGTTGATTCCTCGCCAGTTGTTGCAATTGCTGAGGACCCCTTTCTTCGGAATCTTCACAATGACTCCCTCTGTCCAATCTTCAGATAACCTTTTTCCTTCCCAGACGTCTGTGATGATCGGCTTGAGTAGGTCTGCTGCTAGTTGTGGATCTCTTTGGAATACTTCTGCACTGATATTGTCTTTTCCTGGGGAATTTCCGTTCTTGAGGGACTTGGTAGCTGCTATGATCTCTTCTTTTCTTGGGGATGGGTGTTGACATCCAGGTCTGTCTCTGCCCCTTGTATATCTACCTCTGTTGGCGGTGGCAGTCTCTTCAAAATCTCACTGAAGTGTTCCGTTCATGCTGCGTCCTGCTCGGCTTCTGTGATGAGCAGTCGCCGCTGCTGGTCCATCATCGGAGCATCAGTGCCAACTATATATCTGACACACAGCAGCCTGATGATCTTATAGATTTTGCGTTGCTCTCCTCTACTTGCTGCATCTTCTGCCTGGCTTGGTGGGTCGTTTATGTGGCTCTGCTTCTCTGTTCTTGCCATCATCTTCACTGTTCGGTTCGCTTCCATCCATTGTTGCTTGTATCTCTCCTTCAGTCGCTCTGATTTGGCCTTCAAGACTTTCATCTTGAGAATTCTTCTCTTCTCAATGGCCTGCCAGCTATCCTCTGAGATCCACTCCTTCCTCTTTCTCTGCTTTGTTCCAAGAAAGGCCTTGCAGGTCTGCTCGTAAGCTATCTTAAGCTGTTGCCACTTTGTATTGATGTCTTCCGAACCTTCCAACGTCTGGTCTTCAGCATCCGCTCATACCTGGAGCTTATTTCTCAGCTGTAGTGTGACGGCAGTCTTAAGTTTTAGGTCTCGCAGCTTCTCCACGTCAGAGTGTTGTTGCCCTCTCAAACTTAATCTGGTCTTCCTCAGCTTCAACTTCAGTTTAGGGGTCACAAGATGGTGGTGACTTCCCGCATCAGCTCCTCTTCTCACTTTGACGTCTTGGCAGTGATCGCCTCCACATCCCGTTGATCATCAGGTTGTCAACCTGGTTCTTGTCTTTTCTATTGGGAAAGTAACCTTTCAGCCATTGGACGTCTCGATGTGGGAAGAGCGTCCCTCCAGCGACAAAATCTAAGGTGGTGTATATGTCTAGTAGCCTATTTCCATTGTCGTTTATGGTGATATCCTTCTCTCCCCATGGCCCTATCGTAGTTTCTGTCATTTCCAACTTTTGCATTGAGATCTTACATCACAATCTTCATCTCGTCACGTGGTTCTGCAGTTCTGCTTGAAGCAGTTCGTGAAGGTGTCCTTGCCTTCTTCGTCACTGTCGTTTGTTGGTGCTTAACACCGGATGATAGTTGTGTTGATGTGTCTCCCTTTCAATCTCACTTGATCGGCTTCAACTCCATCGGGCACTTCTCAAGACCCTTCTTGAGGATAATGGCTATTCCCTCACGGTGCTGGTCATCTCTTCCGGAATATAGCACTGTCTCTCCTGTGTTGGTCTTGTGTCTGCCTGAACCTGTCAATCTGCTATCGCTAATTCCAAGAACGTGTAGGTTGTAATGTCTCATCTCAGCATCTCAGCTGTGGCTTGGCTCGCTTTCCTGTCTCGTATATAGTTCTTCCTTCCAGTGCATAACTAGCTTAACTGGTTCCATCACACAAACTGCACAATCTAGCTTAAGTGGTTTAATTATTTAAGATAGGTGTATGGCACTTGGGGCGTTTAGCGCACATTCAGCAGATGTTAGGGACTCTGTGTTGTTCTTGTTGCTCAGTAATTATCCGATACCCTTCCTTATTATTTCCTGGAATCTAACTGTATAACCGAGACTGATCATTTAACGGTTAAATCATCGCAAAATCTATCTGAACTGGTTAAATTTACTTCAAAGAACAAACGGCAAAAACTGCTTGAGGTAGTTAAAATAGTCAATATATTCACATTAATTCGACTGGTTAAAATAGTTAAACTAGGTAAGACAGTTAAACTGCACAGATTGCAATATCTTTGTTAATTGGTTGAGGTAGTTCAAATTGTCTAAGTGGCTGATATAGCTCAAGTACGCTGTTTTCAGCTTTTTTTTTGTTGATTATAGCTTTACTTCACTCAAAATAACTTCACTAAATTACACTGTTTTCGGCTCTTTATTGAATCCGGAAAAGGTTTTTTGCCTGTTGCAGCCAATCACGCTGACTTTTACCAGACCACTGAAAACAACGTTTTTACTTCTTCGTCGCTAAGTTACGCTATTTTCAGCTCTTTTTCACGAAAAATTGGTTTCTGTCTGTTTAGAGCTTTTTACGCTGTTTTTGGCTTTATCGCACCGAGAAAAGGAATTTTTGCCTGTTTTTTTACCAGTCACGCTTAGTGTATCTTATCTTCCTCAAACCAATGTTTCTGCTTTCTTCTTGCTATATTACTCTGCTTTCAGCTTCATACCACCAGAAACATGTTTCTGACGCTGCACCGAAAACGGCTTTTCTGCCTTTTTGCACCTAATCACGCTGTTCTTAACTAACGTAAAGGCGTTTTTTGGCTTGTCTGCTGTTGTCATGCTGTGTTTAGAGCTTTCTCGCTCTAAAAACTTGTTTTGTGGCCTGTTTCCAGCTAATCCCGATTATTCAACCTTTATCTCACTCAAAAAAACGTTCTTACTCTTTCCTTGCTAAATTAGGCAGTATTCAGCTTTTTCGCACCTGAAAAAGGTTTTTCGCCTGTTTGCAGCTAATCACGCTGATTTTAGCGATATCTCACTCAGAAGAATGTTTTTGCTTTTTCGCCACTAAGTTAGGCTTTTTTCAGCTATACCGCACCGAAAACCCTTTTTTGTGCTTGTTTGCTGGATGTACGCTGCTGTTATCTTCCTTGCACTAAAACCTGGTGTTCTAGCCTGTTGGCAGATAATCGACTGTTTTTAGCTTGATCTCAACTCAAAACAACGTTTTTGCTGTTTTGCTGCTAAATTACGCTGTTTCCAGTTTTTTTTTGTACTGAATTAAGAGTGTCACCTGTTTGCAGCTAATGACGCTGTTTTAAGCTATATCTCACTCATAACAACATTTTTCTCTCTGTGATGCTAAATTACGCTCTTTTCAGCTCTATCGTACTGAAAACCCTCTCTATACTTGTTCGTTGCTGTTACACTGTTCTTACCTTCCTTGCATGAAAAGTGGTTTTCTAGCCTGTTCGCAGCTAATTGACCGATTTTAGCTTGATGTTTCCGAAAACAACGTTTTTGCTGTTTTGTTGCTAAATTACGCTGAATTCAGATGTTTATCTGCTTGCAGCTAACAGCGGTCTTTTAGGCTATATCTCACTCATAACAACATTTTTTCCTGCTGTGGTGCTAAACTATGCTCTTTTCAGCTCTTTTGCACCGAAAACCCTATTTTGTGCCTGTCTGCTGTTGTTACACTTGGTTTTCTGGCCTGTTTGCAGCAAATTGACTGATTTTTGCTTGATCTCACCTAAAACAATGTTTCTACTGTTTTGTTGGTAAATTTCGCTTTTTCCAAATTTTTTTGCACTGAATAAAAAATTTAGCGTTTTTGAAGCTAGTCACGCTGATTCTAGCTATACCTCAATCAAAAGAACGTTTTTTGCTCTTTTGGGTCCAAATTACACTCTTACAAGACTTTTTTCACGGCATAAAGGTTCTGGCCTGTTTCCAGCTAATCACGCTGATTCTAGCTATATTTCACGCAAAAAAATGTTTTTGTTGTTGTGGTGCTAAATTGCGCTGTGTTCAGCTTTTTCGCACTGGAAACGGTTTTCGCCTATTTGAAGCTTTTCACATTGATTCCAACTATATCTCACTCAAAAGAAAATTTTTGCTTTTTCGCCGCTGTATTTCAGCTGTATTGCACCTAGAACCTTTTTTGTGCTGGTTTCCTGGATTTACGCACTTTTTTTCTTCCTTGAACCAAAACCGGTGTTCTGGCCTTTTTGCAGACAATTGACTGATTTTAGCTAGATCTCACTCAAAACAAAAAACGTTTTTGCTGTTTCGGTTCAAAATTACGCCGTTTTAAATTTTGTTTTTTTTCGAACTGCATGAAGACTGTCGCCTGTTTCCAGCTCATTACGCTGTTTTAAGCTATATCTCACTCATAACAACTTTTTTTTTTTTTTGGCTTCTGTGCTGCTAAATTACGCCCTTTTTAGCTTAATCGTACCGAAAACCCTCTTTGTGCATGTTTTCTTATACCCTTTTCAGCTTTTTTGCAATGCATAAAGGTTTTTTTAACCTGTTTACAGCTTATCACCCTGGTTCTAGCTATACCTCGCCCAAAAAAAGAACGCTTTTGCTCTTTTGGGTCCAAATTACACTGTTCTCGGCCTTTCTGCACTGCATAAAGGTTTTCGCCCGTTTGCAGCTTATCACGCTGCCTCTCGCTATATCTCACTCATAAGAACGTTTTTTTGCTGTTGTGGCGCTACATCGCGCTGTGTTCAGCTTTTTCGCACTGGAAACGGTTTTTGCCTGTTTGGAGCTAATCGCGCTGTTTTAAGCTGTTTTGGTTCTTTACTACCCTATTTTCAGCTTTTCTGCACTTGAAAAAGGTTTTCGCCTGTTTTTTTTTTTGGGTGCTTAATTACGCTCCTTTCGGCTCTATCACACGGAAAGGATTTTTCGCTTAGTTGCCGTTGAATTTAGCTGGCCCTACTTTTATTACACCGAAAGAGGTTTTCTGCCTGTTTGTAGCTAGTTACATTCATTTCAGCTTTATCTCGCTCAAAACGTTTGTTCTGTTGTTAGCCGCCGAGTTTCGCTATTTTTTTTTAGCTTTATTACACGGAAAGCAAACACGTTCTTTTTAGTAAGATAAAAGTAAGATAAGCTCAATTAGCTGCCGATATGCGGAAACCGTTTATCAGTACGATAAAATGTTTTAATGCGATAAGGTTTAAAAAAAACCAGGATAATTTAGCAAAAAAAGGGCGAAACCGTTGTTTTTTTCCATTACATAAAGCTCTAAACAGCCAATGGAGCCAACTCACGAACTTTCTGCATTTTGCGCAGTTGAACTTTCTCCGCGTTTTGTAACTTTCTTCAATTCAACTGTATTCGCTAGTTTGACTTTTTAACCAGTTAAACTATTTATGGTAGTTATGCTTTTTTGTCCGATTAAACCCTATCCCCAAGCTAGTTTGACCATTTATACTGCTTGAACTAATGAAGATAGTTTGTCCAATTGGCGCATTTTAACTGTGTTCCCTTGTTTGACTATTTGGCCACTTGAATCAATTTGCCTAGTTTGGCCATTTGAACTACTGGATTCAATTAAGCTACATTGCACAGATAGTGCAGTTGAATCATTTGACCCAGTTATGCATCTTGTTCAATTGAATTGTTAAATCTGGTTATGAATTTTGTGCAGCTAAAGCATTAAGGCTAGTGTCATTTAACGGCCTTAACCAATTAAGATTGCTTGTAAAAATTTGAGCGACTTGACGGTTTTCGCTAGTTTGACTATTTGACTAACCAGTGAAATAAACGAAGCCCTTTAACCGATTAAGCTAGTTTGACCATTTTAACTAGTTGAACTAATTAAGGGAGGTTGTGCAGTTTAACCATTCAACCTAGTTATGCATTTTGTTCAGTTCAATGTTTTTAGCTAGTTTGACCATAACTACTTCAACAATTCAATATAGATTGTGTTATTTCTGCAGTTTTGCTGTTTTGCTAGTTTGATTATTTAGCCAGGTCAAACAGTTGAGCTTGATTGAAAAGCTTGTGCAGTTGAAGCTGTTAAGTTGGGTATGCATTTTGTCCCTGCAACAATTTTAGGTGGTTTGACCATTTGAACAAGTCTAAGCAGTGAAGCGAGATTTTGCAGTTTTTGCAGGTTTACTGTTTTTTTGCACAATTAACACAACCTACGTCAACAGTTTAGACTAGTTCTAATGGTCAATCAAGCTTGAACTGTTGTGCATAGTTATGCATTTTGTCCACTTAAACAAGTTAAGCTTCATTGACCATTTGAACTAGTCTAACCAGTTGACGTAGCTTATAGGGTTCAAAGGGTTAAATGTCCATCGAGCGACAACAGTTGAATTGCACAAATTGGACAATCCATCGTAATTGGTAGAAGTGGTTCATATGGTCAAACTAGCTTAAAGGCTTTAGCCGGACAAAATGCTTAGCTTAATTGGATCAACTGCACAAGCTACACAATCCAGCTTAATTGGTCGAAGTATGTGACGTGGTT